ACACACACACACACACACACACACACACACACACACACAGTTCAACACTTGCCATTTGCTTATTTGTTGATTGCCTTGTGCATTGATTTGATACCTATTTAGCTGGGTCTAAAAGTTATATAAAAGTCATATATAATATAACTTTTATAGAATTACTAAGAGATTCCCTGTATTATGAAACTATGTCTATGTCTATGCGTGTGTCTGAGGACTCGGGTTCCTGATGCAATAGAGGTAGGAGTCGATGAAACTCTGGGCTCTCTGTGAATGACTGAGCCAAAATTATTTTTTAAGCTGGTGCAAACAGGTGCTTTTATAGTGTATGTGCGTGAGGTGCTGTAATGTAGTTTACCGATCCTTTGTTTAAGCTTAAAATTTCTTTAAGCAATTTTTCTAAAAATATAAATGTTCCTATTTCTGTACCTGACACTGATATTAGTGTCTTGAGGTATCACACCATTTAATTTAATTTAATTTTTTATATTTTATTTAATTTTATGTAAAGGGGTCCTATTATGCTCTTTTACAAAGTCTTGATTTTGTTTCGGGGGTGTACTAGAACATGCTCTCATGCTTGGTGGTTCGAAAAACGCATTATTTTTCACATAATTTACATTATTAAAATAGCTTTCTCCCCAGCCTGGCACAAACAGCTCGATTAGTTCCGGCTTTGATGAACTTCTTCATCGTCTCGTCTGATGCACTCAACCAAGCGTTCTAACCACAACCTCGCCCAGGCGGGAATTATTTTTAATGATATTCTAATGGGCCGCTTTGTGATATCACAAAGCCCGGAAAACAAACGCTGTAGTCCAAACGAGCCGTTCGTTGTAGTTCTTGAAAAGGGATTTAAAAAAAATGAAATATCTCCCTTTGGAGTGGACTTTGAGATTTGTAACTTTTTTTGGGGGCATCTTTTTTATGCCCAAACATACACACTACACACTGACTAAAATTTAAAAAGTGAAAAAGCATAGGACCCCTTTAATTTCATTTTTCTATTTAAGCACCAACATATCACTTTTAAACTTGTTGAAACATTCTGGGTATACTGTTGTTCTCTGCTCTATTATGTAAATGAATGAGTGTTTGCATTTTTTGCGTGACTCATGTCTATTTGCTTGTGTATAGCCGAGGATTTAATTTGATTGTAGTGAAGCCACCACCTTCTCCAGCAGTCACTTAATCCGTTTATTAAGCTCGTATCAGCCTCAGGATCTTTAGAGCCTCTGGATTCTGAATGGAAGCTCTGCCATACAAATAGATGGATGACATGGCGCAATACAGCTTAATAAAAAGCACTGTGCTAGAAATGTGCTTTACTAATCCACAACTTCAAAAGATTTTATACACTACCTTGACTTACAAAAGCAAATAATGTTATCATTAAGATGTTTTTGAAAGACGTCACCAAGGCTGCTTTTTATTTCAAATAATATTGTGAATTATTATCACAATTTAAAAGAAGAGTTTTAAAACTGTTTCGAATTTTTATATATTTAAAAATCAAATTTATTCCTATGATGGCAAAGCTGAATTTTCAGGCAACATTTTACTCCAGTCTTCAATATAAACTGTGATACATACAGTACATACATACATTTATTTGTTTATTTATTTAGAACAGCATACATTACATTTGTAAGATGGTAAAAGACTGTACTGTCACTTTTGATCAATGCGTCCATGTTGAATATTTAAAAAAAAAAAAAAAAGTCACAATTTGAATGACTAAATTGACACTTTTTTACTAGGCTTTTTATAGTTTTATTAAGTATGGCATTAGAGAGAGAATGAGTGGTAGGTGGTAGAAAAGTGGTAGAAATGGCAATGGGATTAAGAAAATTATGTCATGATTTAAGATTTTATTAATTTCCCTGTCTTGTTAAGGCCTAGAAATCACATTTGGTTTTATTTTAAATCTCTGAAGTTTCCAGGTTTTCCATGACCGTGTGAACCCTGAACTATCTTAGTCCGTCCTACATTTCTCAGGCAGCAGTCAGTCATGACGGAACATCTTGTACTTGTGGCCTCTTTGTTTATTTGTTTGTTTTTCTCTGTTTGTTTGGGCTGTGCAAGTCGAAATGGGCCTCCCCATCGGTCTCGACAGGATCACTACAGCAGGGATGTTGCCATTTGGTCAGTCAAGCATCCATCTGTGGAGCTCTCTGTAGATCAGACATTTGAGATTGAGCGGAAGAAGTGTTTCAGGGTCGCTGAGGAGACATTTCATATACGCTGTGCTCTCTCTCTCTGGCATCTACTGGGCCGTCAGTCACACTCCCAGAAATCTCAGCTGCCAGTCAGTGCTTCTCCAGGCCCCAGGCAGACAGGCTTTGGCAGACTCTGGTTTGACCGTGGCCCCTGACTGCTCACTAATCAGCTAGCGCCAACAGTGAAGGCCTTTTTGCATAGTGATTTCTCATTCCCTCTTCTCTCCCACTTACATTGCTTTTTGAAGTTACTTTCTTGGCTGATAAAAGTGGGACAGTGACAACAGAAATGGAGTAAGAGGAGGTCTTATTTACACACTATGTCTCTAAGTCATTACTGCCTTCAGGACAAAACAAAATAATCTACAAAGAAAAATCCCCAAACACTGCCTATTGTTTTCAGCTACATTACTGACAAAGTAATGAGGACTTATGCATCTACACTGTATGAGAGGGCATTCACCTCAACAGCGCAGGAAATCCATGAGGAATAAAGCAGAGGACCACTTTAATGAAATGTTATCGACAGATTCCCTCTAGCCCAGCTTGCCCCAATGAGTCTGTAAGGATATTTCTTATTTTCAGAAGGCTTGGACATTGGAGTGACACTCTTGGCTTTTAGATGCCCTGTACTATTCCTAAAATATTTTCAAATCAAATTATCCCCCCAAAAAACTTGTGATACAATATGTTCAGTTAAGAAAATTGTATTAATTTTAAAGTGAAATAAAAAATGTATTTTCCTGAATCTTTCAAAATATCAGTCTTTATTTGAATCTTAAAGTGATAGTTCACCCAAAATGAAAATTCTGTATCATTCACTCACCCTCATGTCATTCCAAACCTCTGGAATGCTGGGACCTCTACAATTGAGTCAGTGAGTTGAATTCAAGAACCTGATCAGGCTGATTTGTTACCCCTTTTTTAATGGATAAGCAATTAATTGAAAAGATCAGATTCGATTTGTTCACAAATCAGACATCATTTTTTGCAATGCGGGTGCAGTGGTCCTTTCATTTGTCCTCCCTGTCTTTTTAGTGTATTTCTCTCTTTCTAATGTGGTTAAATAATAATTCTAAATAATAATAATAATAATTCCATGTTCTTTCCTTTAAAACCCCATTACAAATCTAATTATAGAATACACAAATGGATGTGTGTACTTCTGAATGCCTCTCTCTCTCTCTCTCTCACACACACACACACACACACACACATACTTGTATTTGTGGTTTACGGGGACTCTCCATAGGCGTAATGGTTTTTATACTGTACAAACTGTATTTTCTATTGCCCTACACCAACCCTACACCTAAACCTACCCCTCACAGGAAACTGCTGGCAATTTTTGAATTTCATAAAACACCGTTTTGTATGTTTTTTTAAGCCTTTTGTTTTACGGGGACACAGGAAGTGTCCTCATAAACCATGTTTACGTTGTAGTACCCATGTCATTATACACATTTGTGTCCTCATAAACCATATATACCTGTACACACACACACACACACACACACACACACTTCTCTTAATCTCCTGTAGAGGTCACTGTATACCAGTCTCTTTGTCTCCATTCACATTTGTCTCATGTTGGCATATGAGATTGGACATGTTGTTTGTTTGTTTGTTGTTTGTTTGCTTACATCTTATTTTTTTATTTTCCCAAATAATACGAGACCATGTTTATCCTTTCAATCATGGTTTTGTTTTATAAGTGGAGGATTTAGTACCTTGAGCTGCTTTAGGGAGGTTATACTGCCAAAAACCAAAAGCATCAGTGTCCCCTCCCCTCATTTTTACCGGCCTTTTGTTTAGTTTCTAAGAAGTACCTCTAAGTCCTGGGTTTTTGCCAAGCCTGAGCAATGCGGGGAGCCAAACTACAACAGGGATGCAATTATCTTGTATCTTGCCAGTTCCTTTACAAAATAGAAGAGACTGGTTCTAGCTGTCACATTTTTTTACTAATTTCTTATTTCTCAGGGTCCATTTCTGTATAGGTACAAAAAAAAAAAAGTCTCTGCTACAATAAAACATTATTGCCGTTATTATTGCCCAAGAAAAAGATACAGTTTCTTTAACACCTTGTCGACCTTTTTTAAAATGATATTGGTGCTAAGTTGTCACAATGGTAACCTGCCATTAAATAGCCTGTTATAGCCTTTTTACTATTTACAATCACAATTTAAACAGTAAAACAATTATAAAGCACAAGCAATTTGTGAAACAGCAAAAAAATGTCATACAAAAATATAAAATCATTGCTTTTACTATATATTGTAATTAATACATTATATAGATTGCAATATTTAAAATGTGATATGATGATGAGTTAAAAAGTGTATTTATAAAGGGTATTTATAAATTATTATAAGTAAAGAGAGTTTTAAACTAGGGTTTTGAAACCAACATACAAAAACAAGCATTTGTGCCTCTCTTTGTATACTGTCTTTGTACTATTTATGCACACATGTCACCATGTAAACAAGCAAAGATACCTCACTACAATAAGTTATACAGCAGCGGTATATTGGAAGATAAGTCGTTGGATTAGATTTCAGGTGACAAAAACCTATTTTACACATCTCTATCAGTAGTGCCATTTGAAAATGTGATGCCATCTGGTTATGATGAGAGATGGGGTGGGCTGCACAGGCAAGAAAATATCATCTGAAGCTAGATGTTCAGTCGAGAGGGCTGTGTGCTCTTGATATGAATGAAAATTAATAAATAGTCGAGCATTTTAAGAGGATTTGTGCCACATGCAGGTGCTCATTTAAACCTTATATAAGTGTTTAAATGCATCAAGATGCAAGCATTAAAATGCTGAATATGATTCTGTTGATGAAATGTAATCAAGGCCTCCATCCACATTATATGGAGAGCCAGTAAAGTGGATGTGATCTCTACTTAGTGCTTAGAATAGATTTCATGAAATACCGCAGCAAATTAATTGCACAATTTTTAAAAGGCTGAAAATTAACCCGCCCTCTTCTTCCTCTAGGGGATTGACTTTGCGGCCTTTACGGGTTACATGTTCCTGGGAATCTGTCTGGTGCTGCTGACCTCATTTCCTTTTTTGAGAATGCTGTTCTGGAATAAGAAACTTTACAACAAGGAATCCAGTGAAATCGTGGGTGAGTATTCATTTATTCTACTCTGTTCCTACGCACCAGGTTTCCTAAAATCATACGGAACTATCCTCAAGAGTATGTAGAGCCACTCTGCTTTCCTTCGTTTTTGATTCAAGCTCTTTTGTTCTGACATGTGCAATGAAAAATTCATTCATAATCCCATTGACCTAGATCGTAAAGAATGAGCAATCATTTCTAAAAACCATAGAGTGGTTGAGGGCACACTTGACCTTCCTTTGTTGACAGCAGTTCTTCCTATATGAGTATGTGAATGAGTGTCATACACCATTCTACACTATTTACACCAAATATCATATCCTATCCAAAGCTCCTTACATTTGGCCTTTGAGCCCATGTGACTGGGATAGGCACAGCCTACCCTTTCATGGATGATTATAACCTCGGCAATACATCAATTTTTCATCCGCCCCTCCTTCTCTCCCACATCCCACGATCACATTGATGCGTTTAGTCTCTCTGTACCCTTCAGGCTGTTTTCCCTTATTTTTCCATTATTCTTATCGGATGAGCCTGTGCCAAAAGCCTTAAAGGGGTCATATGATGTTGCTAAAAAGAACATTATTTTGTGTATTTGGTGTAATGAAATGTGTTTATGCGGTTTAAGATTAAAAAAACACATTATTTTCCACATACTGTACATACTGTACACTCCTCTATGCCCCGCCTTTCTGAAACGCGTCAATTTTTACAAAGCTGATCCACAGCACGAAGTTGATGTATTTCCTCAGCTACCAGCAAGGATCAGCTCTAGGCATGACAAAGCAGAAATCGTCCTCTTTTGGAAGGCCAAACAAAGTAGTTTAGCTTTCACAACGAAACACACAGCGCCTTCACGACATGGCAGCAACAACAATACTACAGCGAGAATAAAAGTTACACCTTCTTTCTTTGCGTGAACATTTGGGCGACGTTATGCAAATCTTCCCACATCGTGACGTAGACATGTGGGGCGTGTTAGAACGAGCCGTTTTAGGTAGGCGTGGTTGACTCTTAACTTTTATAAAGAATATGTCTTTGGATTTGAGACTTTAGTCTTTGCAACTTTACAGATCTTCTTTATGCACCAAGAGCTTGTAACACTTCAAAGAGAAAGGAAAAATTACAATCGCATCATATGACCCCTTTAACGCCTCTTTATTAAATACAAAAATCCTGTCATAGATGACCTCTCTCAAGACCTAGACTTATGCACAGTTTTCAGACAGGACATGTTTGAGGGGTCAAAGTTTGTCTGGTTAGCATGGCCCATTTAGAAGAAGAAATTATTTTATTTTCAAGGAACATACATTACAAGGGCTTGGAACTGTGTGTTCTTGTGTAATTAGTCAAATTTAGAGTTCAGGTGATTAGCTAAAAAAACCTCAGTGCCCAGAGCTGCCTGTGAGCAAAGATAGCACATTTCAAATTGTACTTTCAGGTGTCAACTGTTTTAAATCTGCAATATTAATAATTTTCTTACTATCTACAAAAATAATCCTAACAGGGTCCGTGTTAGAGCATGTTTATGGTTGTACTGTCATCAGCCCGTCATAATGTATGTCGTCCTTGTATCTTGATATCCACCATTGTGTAATGCTTGCTTGAAATGGGTGATGTGTCAGAGAATTGCATATTTATGACATTTTGAAGGAACAGGACACATTTAGCCCAAGTGTGAAGGTGCTAACACAGCTAGAAAGGCCGTTGAAGCCATCATAGACTCTGACAGGTCAATACCACTCTCACCTAGGGAGTCATCGCTTCATCACCGCCTCCACTGAAAGCCAGTCTGGCCAGAACAGAATTTTGGGTTCATTTCCAATGTTTAGATTGTGTCAGTGCAGTGTGAAGTTTGTGAATATGAAAAAATAAATAGGTGTTTTTTTATTTATTTATTTATTCATTCATTTAGTTATTGTTCATTTTTTGTACACTTACCCTTCAAGCTTCAAAATAGGATGCGTAAGTAAATAAATAAATAAATACATAAAAAGTAGTTAAATGTAGCAAAAGCCATTTGATAGCCTTTTTTTCTGAATTACACTCACTTTTTGGGTGAACTATTCCTTAATTAAAGTCACAATTTTATATATACAGTGGGTATAAAAAAGAATCACCCCCCTTTAAAATAATCATATTTTGTTGCTTTGCAGCCTGAAATGAAGATGGACACAGTTTTTGTTTTATCCAACTGTATTACTGCAACGTATAACATTCAAGTGAAAGATATAACACCAGCATGTCAGAAAAAAAAATAAAAAAAAACAAACAGAATCACTGAGTTGGAAAAGGGATCATCCCCTCCTAAAAATGCTGTGTAAACTCAATCAGGTGTAGCTAATCACCTTCTCAATGGCACACAAAGCCATTTGACTTTCAACTGTGATTAGCTGTGATCATTTTGATTAGCTCATCATGAAAAGAGCTTTCCTGGAGCATTTCAATCCTTGGTAGTGCAACTGAAGCAAACAGTCAACTATGGGTGGCAAGGCACTGTCAAAAGATCTCCAGGATAAAGTTGTGGACAGGCACAAGTCAGGATAGGAGATGGCTAAAAAAAAAATTCAAAGGATTTATCAATGCTTAGAAGCACAGTGAAGTCTATTAATTAAGAAGTGAAAGGTATTGCAACACAGACCCTCTCTGGATCAGGACGTCGCTCCAAACTGGTTGAAAGAGCCAGGAGGAAACTGCTCAGAGAGGCAACCAAGAGGCCTACAGCAACTCTGAAGCAGTTGCAGGAATTTATGACAAAGAGTGGTCATTGTGTGCATGTGACAACAATATCACAAATTCTCCACAAATGTGGTTTGTGTGGGAGTGATGCAAGAAAAAAGCCACTCCTCAAGAAAGGCCACATGCAGTCATGACTGAGCTTTGCCAAAACAAACCTTAAAGATTCTGAGGCAGATGAGACTAAAATGTAATTATTTGG